AAATATTTTGAGAAAATAATCGGTAATTCGAAATCGTTAAGTTGTGTGGATATCTCGAATGTAAACTGTGCAGATCTTTCCGATATATCAATTTATTTTTTAAATATGGGAGTTGAGATTGAAAGAATTCGAAATACCGTGGCCGCCATCTGATATTTAAATAAATTTTCTATATTGAGCCAACTAAGTTCTTTAATTTTATTTGATATTTTATCATACTTTCTGATACCAAATACAAAACGACAACAAGTGTTTTGAATATTTTGAAGTCTGTATTTGGTTATTTGATCTAAACAAGAATAGTAAATTATAAATCCATAATTTGGGATAGACAATACAAGACTTTTACAGAGCAACTTACGTAATTTGAAACTCAAAATACCCCGATTCCTGTATAATTGACGAATAACCAGATACGATTTTTTAACTAGAAGCGAAACGTAGTCCTGAAATCTTAGTTTGCCTAAATTTTTAGGAAAAATACTATGAAGTTGTTTGAATCCATATAGAAAATATAAGCTTCTCTACCTCGGTATAACTAATTTATATAAATATCTACGAATGCCTGTAAAGTGTCAAGTTATTCAAACAGGTCAAATTTAACAAATTTCCCAAAGGGCTGAAGACTGAATGTTTGAATAGTACCTAAAGTATTTAGTTGTTTAGGGAAATTTTCTTCTCTAGAATATTCGACCTATAACGCTTGATAGACAAGAACTCATACATTTTTCTTTATTATGTTTCGAAAATCATATTACTACAAATATCTTTATTTTCTATAGATGAAACTGAGTAAATTAATTACTTCTAAATGAATTAAATGACTGATTTATATATCACATTTGAAATGCTGCGTAGGGAGCAACCTATGAATTAAAAAATTCAAAATTATGCTTACTTAATTTTTTATTAATTTGGAAGAACTGTCTCCTGTCAAGTGTTGTAGGACGAATAACACAAACACTATGTACATCATAGATTCCCAGTAGAGCTCAGAAAATTCAGTTGTTTCTATTTATTCTAATATCTTCCTTAAAATAAATTTAATGTCTGTTGATTATTAGTTTAAATTCAAATTTGCTTTCGTTTGAATTTGAATATGAATTAAAAACCCAGACATCTGAATACTAAAACTGAACTTTTATTGGTTAATAAAACATGTTTATCATAATTAATTGTGCTTGAATAAATTTCATTAGTTTTATATGCTTTCTGTGGTTAATTCATTCTACATTTTAATTTTGGATATGACATACGTAGTTGTCCAAAATTAATTTTGGTATTTTAAAAGATTTGTATGGAATAGAAATTCAAAAAATAGACGCCAATTTTCAAGATAATTATGTATTTTTTAGGGTATATTCTTGGAAGTACTTACATTTATAATTGATTCAATTATTTTGTCAAGTCATTGGGAATGGATATTAATTTAATTTATATCAGATTGTTACATAAGAATTGTTTTAGTGAAAATTTTCGTAAACTGTCAAAATTGTTACTTTATTGGATGGTTATGTAGGTACTATTAACTAGATAAAAGAAGAAAAATATCATCCATAGTTATTTTTTTTATATTGTGAATTATCTTTCTCTTTTATTTTACGTCATCCTATTTCAATAAAGTATGTTTTTAATATAAATCTATGTATAAGTCGTGAGTGCGAGTGAGAAAGTAAAATTCATTGAAAATGACTTTGAGTTAGAGCATTTTTTGTAACCTACCGCAATCAGGTACCTTAATAATTGATTAATTCCATTTATTAAACATAATATTGCATTCTTATTAAATTCAAAATCCTTCATTTAACCAATAATCTCCAGGATAATTAAATCTTATTTACGACACCTAATAAATAATAGCTATAACCACGTTCGTAAAAGATCCAAATTTCGTGCACGTGGCTGTGTTCCTAGAGAAAGAAAACACCATAAAACATATTTCTTTTCACGAAGTAATTATCATTAAAACACTTAACTCGTTTATATTTCTAGTTTCGATGTTAAGATCGATTTCGACAATATTTCAATACACAAAGCTTTCAAGGCATATAATAAATAAGCCACGCCCTGCACCCACAGTATTTCCATGAGAACTAAAGACATTTAGACGTCACAAAAGCCATTAAAATTTTATTATAAGAAATCTGACTCAAAGGAGCTAATAATTTGAGGTGCATGCATTCAATTTTATTATTTGTATCCAGTTATATTTCAAGTTCAGTAGTCAGTACCTTTCCTAAAACGCTCTTCCTAAACGACGTCTATCCTACAATATCTCCTATCCCCGAAGGTGTCAACGTCTCGACGCCCAACGCCCAATATATTGATAGCAAATGAATATGGTCTGCGTTTGAACGGGACTCAAGTGAGATCTCAGTAAATAGTAACAATTGTAATATACTTTGCTAATTATTGCATCACATTTAAAGTATAAAAAATAAAGAGTGTAAATATAAATTTGTCTGGTTTTATTTATCAATTTGTACCAAACTTTGCATCGAATTCTAGTTTACCTTAATTAACATTATCACAACGTGGGTATATAAATTATCAATTAATTAACTAGACGATCACTTTTACTACTAGATGAAAAAGGCCAAATACAGTAAGTATAGAATTTAAAGTAAAATAAAACTTGTGAGTTAAATAATAACATTTTAAAGAGTAAAACAACGAACAAATCAAACGTAAAGAAAGGACAGGGGCTGGGCCGTCACAATACTTGAAGAAACTATTAATCATCTCATAACTCACGAGCTAGAAACTCAAACTGATGCAGAAGATAATTTAGTTTTACAGAAGGATCTGTTACATTTCCAGCAGGACGGTACTACACCTCATTTTTTTTCTTCCCTTCAGACAGTGGTTAAACGAGAGATTTCCAAACAGTTGGATTTGGCAGAAGTAGAGCAATTGAATGGCCCCCAAGATCACCTGATTCAACTCCCTTAGATTTTTTCTTTTGAGACATCATAAATCCGTTGTTTATGAAACACATCTTGCTGCGAATTACAGCAGCATTCCGGTGAATTATCGCTGAAGTTTTTCGAAATGTTAGAGACGAGTTCGGAAGCAGCCTTTATAACTATTTACAGCACAATGGACAATATTTTGAAAAGTTTTTAAAATATTGGGCATTTAGATCCTGTGTTTTATTTTTAAAATTTTTTTGTGCAAATTAAAAGTTATTTTTGTAAAAGTCATGTAATCAAAAAAATAAAAAATCAGACGTAAATACTTAATATTTCTCCTGTTATTCAACTCAATAGAATAATTTTTATTTAAATACTAAACTGAAAACCAAGAATATCAATATTGAATCGCAATTTTTCGATTAAAAATTAGGGTACCATTGTAAAGAGAACTAACACCCTTTAAATTGATGTGCCACTTGACCTCCTTCTCATTTAAGATTTCAAGGGTAAGATCTACCCCTCCTAGGATGTTAAGCCACAAGTGTTAACAGTATTTATTCTAGGTATCCCCTTGAAAATAAAATTGACGAGTTGTTGTGATTATTAATTATTTTTATTAGAAGGAAGGTATTTAGTGTGGAAAGTTTTGGATGTGTCACCCTGTATAAGCCGCAATATTAAAAATATTTCTGTCTGCTGTTTCATTTTATAGATATTATTTAAAATATGTAAAGGCATATAGCCAGATGAGTGGTTGTTTTCTAGAAGGAAGCATTTGCTTGAATTAAAGACCTTAAGTTATTATTCTTCCAACAATAATCAACAATAATCAACTACTAAACTAATTATCAAACATAAATATTTTGACGAGAAATTAGATTTTCATGGATTTATGTTAACGAAAATTGACTTAAATCTTTTAATAATCTATTTAAAAAGTTATTGCTCTTTATTTTAATATAGCCATAGATTACATTTTTTACATGAGCATTAGTAATTATTTTTAGTTAGTTTGATATTTTTCATCTGGTGAAAAATCACTGTCAGTCACCAAATTTATTTTCATGAAAATTATTATATATAAAAACATTGTAAATTTGATACTGTTTATATAATATAAACAAGTCAATAACTGTCAAGTTTAATAATTTTACAAAATATTAAATACATCAATAAGTTCTTTTAAAATAAACATTTAAAAATAGTAAGTAACAATTTTCGTAATTTTTATACACCAAATTTTCCACGTTTTCTTTTCTCATAGAAATGTTATTTATTGTTTGGAATTTTGGGCATCCCAAAAAAGTTTTTCACTTTAATAGAGTTAGGGGTTCTTTCATCTATTATATAGCAATAGTCCTTAATAATTAATGATATGATTTGGTACGTATAAAATTAATTGTGAAATAAGTAATAAGTAAACAACTAGTCATAATTACGATACCAGTCATAATTACGAGAATATTCCATTTCCTATTAAACATAATATTTGCTGATACCATTACTTTTTTTTTTTATTACTTATATAAACTACATTGCATATCCTTCAATAAAATGAGTGTGCATCCCGTTTTTCTCTTAAAAATCCTATCACGTTTTACTATCAAACTTTTTATTCTGTTACATAATGAACAACAGCTTCGTTTTAAATTTAAAGATATAAAAGTATCAGATCAATCATTTAATATTTATTTAATGAAGATAAATAGTTTTTTTGAAATAACTTTTTGCTTTGCCTGAGAGTTGTTTTAGTTACTGGGTATTATAATCAATTTGTCGCTTAGGGAAGATAGCTGTTGGTCAAACAAATTTAAACAAATCATAACGATGCATTTATACGTATCAAACTAGCAGGACACCTTTGAATTTTTCATATTTTGATTATGTTATAATTTTAGGATTATTTAAGTGAAAAAATCAATGGATCCTGATGGAATACCTTGCATAATAGGTTCTAATTAGTGTTCTAATAAATCCAAACAAAACGCATTGAATTAAAATTATTTAAAAGTAATAGAAACTTTAATTCCATAACCAGAACAATTATTTCCATTTAAGGACTAAGTTAAGAATCTACATAAATACCTGCATAAATTTCCTATAACGTGCATTTCACTAAAAGGTCAATTCACAACTTTTCCTATATTTTCACGGCCACACTTCGTTCACTCGACACACAAACTTTTATAGTTATCTAAATAGAGGGAAAAACACATTAACTTATTTGCGAAAATGCTCATCTCGAACTATCCAGTCCTTCGTTATTGCCGCCACAAAAACATCATTACCCGATATTAAACCGTAAAATTAGAGATTAGTCTCTTAAACTCTATCGCGATTTATAAACATGCAATAATAAAAATAGAATCTTCGCCCGCGAAAGTTTTTTAGTTATGATTCACGCATGTCTTAAGTGTTATATAAATTATTATTATTGTTTAATAGTGAGGTTATTGTTTAAACTGCGAGCACTACTGGTCTCTGTAATACGGTACTTTGTTTACATTGGATTATTTCATACTTTAGACTTGACCTTTACAAATTAACAAATCAACGCTGGTATTGATAAGCCTAGTACAATCAGAGAGAGAGAGAAGATATTATTGAGATGCGTTTTTCTATTAAATTAAATGTCGGGAAATTGCGTAATTGGTGTGAAATATGACACGTATTATATAGATTAACGCAAATCATTAACTTTAAATATTATTAATAATAATAACTGAGTTACGGTTAAATATTTATTTAAGTAATACTAGCTGCTTAAACAAGCAATAGAAAGTGAGTAACTTGAATCTAAAAACGTACCTTTTTTGGAATGATGTGTCTTCTACTATAGTTTCAGCAATTTATTCCATTTTAGAAAGTGAAATCTCTTCTTTAAAAAAGGAATTTCTGTAACGATGTCGTGATACTTTAGTGCCACAGGGAGGGAAAATATAAAAAACTTCTATTGTCGAACATAAAACTGACACAAGTGAATTCAGGTCAATTCTTAAGTCAGCTCGAAGTTCACCAAAGACAAAAAGAGAGAAAGCTGCAAGGATTTTTCGCAAAATGGAGGAACATAGACGGATAGAACCTTTTACCAGCTCATGAGTCTTTCCTATAGTCCTAGTCTTTTTTTTTTGGTGGAACATACTTTTACGCACACCCCTACGTTGTTCAGGGGTACTGTAGGAGCTCTTGGGCCTCTCTCATCTATCTCTTTTTGCTTAAGGACTTCAATAATAAAGCGATGTCTACTTCTCCAATGTTTCTCTACTAGCCCATTAGTCTCTCCTATAGTCCTAGTCTAGGAAGGGATGATAGTACGAGATTCTATGTAGACTGTCGTCAGTTGAACAAAGTTACCAAGTAGACAGTTTTCATCTGCCTTGAATTGACGATACTTGAACATATTAGCCAGAATTTAAGTATTTTCTACTTTAAACTAAAAGTATGGATATTGGCAGGTAACAATGGGCCCAGTAGACAAAGAAAAGACAGTACCACTAGTTCTGAATTGTGGCAAATTAATCTCCATCATACCATTCGGACTCTGTAATGTCCCCGCAACATTTGAAAGACTTAGGTAAAATCTTTTGGGAGAGTTATCTTGGAAAATGTATCTAGTATATTTGGACGACATAATAGTCTTGGAGAAAACATTTTATGTACATCTGAGAAACTTATAAGAACTTTCTAAAATACTCAAAGCTGTGCAACTGATGCTTAACACAAAGAAAAATATTGTCATTTACCTTATAGTTGGCTAGGATGGCTTGGATAAGGAATTGATGACTTTTGTTGAACAGTGGCCACAATCAATTAATAGACATCAAATAAGACAATAAAACGATCATTGGTATAAAATACTCAACTCTCTCCATTGGTTAAGTCGTATTTAGCTCAGTGGGACTCTTTTATTCTAAAAGAAGGCTTATTAAAGCAAGTACTCGAGAATGATGATGGTTCCGAAAATAGGAGACAGTTTGCCATTTCAGACTAAAGTAGTTGAAGTACTTCGCCAGTTTGACAGTCCATCAGTAGGACATCTTGGTGTGAAGAAATTCCTTCAGAGAGTTCATGAAAGGTTTTATTGGATGAACAATTCCAATGATGTATGGACTGGTGCAAAAAATATAGAACTTGTGCTGTGAACAATACAACGTCAGTAGTCCATTTGAAAATTATGGACCTTTTCCCATGACCGAGAATGGTAATAAATACATGATGGTGGTTATGGATTATTTTACTAAGTAAAAGGAAGTTTACACCATTCCAAATTAAGAAGCCACAACTGTTACAGACGTGTTGATAAAAGAGTATATTAGTCAATTTGAAGTGTTCTTGGAGATTAACAGTGACCAAAGCAGACATTTTGAAAGCCATCTTTTCCAAAGAATCTGAGATATACTAGGCATAAAGAAAAGCAAAACTACAGTATTTACCCATATTTGGATGAATGGTAGAGCGAATAAATTAGACCATTCGCATATACCTGTCAAAAGTGGTTTCCAATCATTAGCGAGACTGGGTTCAGTATTTTTCTTGTTTTAAACCAGATATATATCCAGCAAGGGGTAGTGACTATATTAACTTAATTAATAGGTTTGAGATTATAAAAGCGTAGAAATCAGACATCTCTTTTATTTTTACACAAACTATTAGATGGTAAAGTAGACTGCCCCATTTTACTTATCTTAAAGTAATATTCTTATACCTAGGATAACAACTCGACAAAACATTGTCTTTCATTGTTAAAGAGCTCGGACCAATATTACTCGTATGCTTAAAGCACTGATACACTATGTGTAGTAATGCCAACGCAATATATAATGCCTGTGATATTTTTTTGCTGCAGTTATGTTAATTAAAAAATAAATTCTTTTTTGGCATTTACTTGATGAAAATCCATATTAATAAAATGAGAAAACCAAACATGGTAGATATTCCCAAACATTTTTATTTAAAAAAATTAAAATTAAAAATTACAGACAAATGTTTCGAATTAAAACTTCTTCTTCAAAAAAAGAAGAAGCTGTTCTTTTGATATAAAAAAACAAACAAAATTAGTCAAAATTAGAATTCTTTTACATACATTCTCGTACATTTAAATATATATTTTTTCTTTTTTATACATACCTGTTTTTAATGTTTTGTGCTTCTATTATTTTTTTTTTGCATAGGCACATTGCCATTCAGCCAGACACAGATTCGTCCATAATTAGAACTAGCCAAGAATATTTCTTAACAGCAAGAGGTGTAAGAAGAAGAAAAACAATAAACAATATAGGATACTCGTTTCTCGTTCAGGGACCCATCAGGACTTTTTTTTTTAATAGACAAACAATATTAGGTCTCGGTAAAAGGGTAAACAAATAGGTATAATATAATAGTATAGTATATATAATATATTTTGTATTTGAACAATTATATATTATAATAATTTTGATAATTATCTTTGACTAATATTTTGAACTTACCACTTACCTACTACAGTTTTTTTTCTCACGTATCATTGGCAAATTTCATTTGCATCTACCTGCCGAAACAAGTTATATTATAACTTATCAGCTCTTGGCTTTAATTGTAAATTGTATTCTAACTTTTCTTTTAAATATAGCATTATTATTATTATTAATAAAGTCCTACTTTCGAAAAGAATTAATACTTCAGCTATTTGTAATTTATGCTCAAAAATATTATTTATCTTCGTTATTATTTATTTTATGTCAGTTATATCATTAAGTTTGTTATATTTTGGTTTTTCTACAAATTTTGAAAAATATTTTAATTTGATTCTATCTGTGCCCATTGATAATAAGTTTAATAACTTAATTAAGATGGTGGTAACGAATTGCTTTAAATAATAATATAGTAATCAATATATCTTTGTAAAAATATCGAAGTAACAAACTACACAAATTTCATAGACGCTGAATTAAAAAAAAAAATATTAAATTTTGTAGATCCCTTCCTGTAACTAAATACATTAAAAACTGCAATTTCAATTGAAGGATACAAACTGAATCTAGTGAGTCGTAAATGTAATGGTGCTACATACAAGTATTATTTTCAGAAACAAATAAAAACTGCAATTTCAAGGAAAAAGCATGCATCGCGGAAATGCGAGATAAAATGATTGAATTTTATTAAAAACCAGAGTTATGGAAGATATGATCGTAAAACAGGATAGGTAGAATTGAAACGTTTGTGAATTTTTTACATTTTAGCCGGATATATCAAAGTTTTATTTTAGTTTATTGGATACCGTTTAATAGTCGTGATAACAATGTATAAGCAATTTTGTGATCATCAGAAAAATGGAAAGAATTTAAATTTTTTTCAAATACCTTGTTTAACTTTTGTAGAAGATTCATCAGTAAACTTATTGACAGCGAAACTAAAAATTTTAATGAATTTTCAGATTTTAGTGTCATTTATGAGCTAGCTGACAATACTATCAATGTAGAAAATTGTGAATCATCATCCTTTTCTTCAGTAACTGTTACTACTATACCGACATCATCTTTTAAACAAAGTTTATATCAGAAAAGCATTCTACTAAAATGTTTCCTAGTTTTACTGAAAACTGCGCTTTTAGCAGCGAAAATATTTCGATATCAAATTAAACTCTCTTCTTAAATGATCCATACTATGGTATTACTTTAAACAAAAAAGTTACAGGGCTGCGAATATTTTTCAGAATCACCTGGTATATTTATGCGAACTATAATACCAAACTGAAATAAAAGAAATTGAAAACACAGTGAATGTAGGTAGCTGATGAATAATAAAATATTACGAAATGAAAATATGAATACTAAACGAACCATTTTCACAGAGTTAATGTCTGAATAAAATTTTGATGCATGAAAAATGTGTAATTACTCGTATATCCGCAGTAAAGTAATAATGCTAAAAAACAGCGTGCTAAAAATGTAGATTCAAATATTAAAAAAACTCTAACCTACGGTGTGCATTAAAGTATTTAGATAAAAATTTATTGTAGCTTATTTACCTGGAATTCGAGAGAATACTATTTTGTGAAACAAGTGCACAAAGTAATAATATTCCTTTGCTTTACGCACATATTTCATACTATGCTTTTTCTGCGATTACAATTTATGGAGCTTACAAAATTTAAATAAATTATTTTAGGAGGAAATGCAAAGTTAGAGTAATATTTTTGTTTTCTGTTTTTTGTTTTTGTTTTTTTAAACAAATTACTTGCCATTTTTTTGCAACTCTTCTACTGTGTCAACATTTAACCGATTGTGGATAAATATTGACCAGCATATGAAGTGTAATTTGCATATTTCGCCTCTAAATTAAGAGTCATATTGTATAAATTTAAACATGGTTTTCCTCTATTCTTCTACTGTAGGCATTCTCAGATCTCTGTGTAGGTCTAAATTTCTAACATACCAAGGGGCGTTGTATTTTATTTATGTTAGTTTTACTGGGACACCCCCAGAGCTGAATGCCGTAAGTCCACTTGTTTATATATTAAAAGTTTATTTTCGATTGA